ATGATGGCTGCAGGCTGGGGCTGGGTCGGGTCGGATTTTTTGGATCCGATTGCAACTCTATTGGGTGTATCTCACGTGTGATGGGTTAAATTCAGAGAAGTAATTTCGTCATTTTTATGGGAACATACAATGATGACAACACATAGCACTTATACTTATATACTTGTATATAACAACAGCCTTCTTCTGTTAGGATTTGAGTTTTTGGCTCCCCTGTCTTGTCTTTTTTGTCCCTGCAGGTGCTGTGAACAGTCAGAGCTGGTGGAGCACAGCTGTGGACAAAGATGGCTGATTAACATCCTTAAAAGACTGCGTCACTCCACTAGACTTTGTTGGACCGTTAGTTACCAAACATTGATTAACCTACAACCTATTGTGTTCTCAGTGTATGTTTAAGATTTAACTTACCTTGTGTTTCACAGAAATCCTTGTGTGTTCCTTGGTTTAACTGATTCCTTGTTCATCTTCATCAGATCCTCCTCCTGTGTTGGCAAACCTACTTACCCTTGTCTCCTGCCTGGCTCTTTTCAGCACTCAGTTCTCTGTGTTAATGTTAACAATTTGTTCATTGGATTTACTGGTTGAACTGGTTGTTTTAAGGACATTTTGAGCACAGCAGTGACGTTTGTAGAAATCTCATTGTCTGAATATAATTTGCACCACTGAAAACATGAAGCGAGGGGAAGGAGGGATTCACAGCAGATCTGTTTCATCTGTTTGGTTGTTTTTTTAAGGAGCCTCAGAACAGTAGATAAGAGAACATATTGTCCAACCTCATACTAAATGACGGCTTGTAATAAAGTGCTCTTACACAGCTGACACTGCAACAGCTCATCAGACAGAACGAGGCAGCAGCTACCTGCGCTCCCATTTGATCAACAATGGAGGAGGACCCAGCCGGTGCGAGAGGCTGTTGACAACAACGCCACAGACAAACACACAACACTGGGGAGGAACGGTGTTTGTGTGATTCATTGCTGTCATCAGAGCCCATTTACACACTGACGGAAAAAGATCAGCTGCGGGCGCCTTTTGTTTTAAAAGATGTGCACCTGCAGGTGAAAAAAGAAGGATGGAAAGAAAAGGCAGAACCAGAGAGGGGGAGTAATGAAGTAAAAGCAGCAGAGAGAGAGGGGGGGGGGGGGGCTGAAGACAAACAGATCTCAGTTAATCTGATTGTTTCCTGTGTTCTGCTGCTCAGACCAGCGGCCTCCAGACAAACGCAAGAAATTACTTTTTAAGGTCCATATCTGCTCACATGTTTTGTGTTTCTGACAAGATTTTCTGTTCATCAAAGAAAAAAAGGATGGCCAACACAGCTTAAAGGAATGGGTGTGTTTATTTATAAAAATGCTTGTACCTATAACATGACGATAACTGCTTATTGGCTCAGACAGAAGACTTATTTCACTTCTCTCCACATCAGAACAAAAGTTTCAGTGCACCAAACAGCCAGCAGTGCCTGTATACACCAGGAGTCTGCAACTTGTGGCTCTTTGGTCTCAGCAGTGTCTCTCTCCAGCTTTGACCTACCCTGCAGATGTTGGATGCTGTCTATCATGGTGCACTAAGATTCATAACTGGCTGTGATTATCGTACCCACCACTGCACCCTGTACTGGACATCATTAACTTCATGCAGACTCTCTCACTGGTACATTTTCATCTTTAAATCACTTCTTGGTCTGTTGCCTTCATACAGCTCCACCTACATGTCTCTGCGTGAGTGCAGCTACAGCGTGCGCTCTCAGTCTCAGGACATTATTACCTGCAGTGTTCCCTCAGTGAGGACTGAACTTGGCAAAAGGACCTTCTCCTCCTCCGCTCCTGTTTCCTGGAATATCTTACAAAAAGATCTGAAGCTCTCGACCTTGACCTCTCTAAGTGGCTTTAAGAACCTGTTGGACTCCTGGCAGGGACCAGTGCAGACATGTTCCTGTTTTTAGTTTTCTACATTCACCTTATAATCTAGCTGTTTTTGCCATCTTATTTTAATTTGTAAAAAAATAAAATAAAAATCTGTATGCCTTTTTATAACTGTCTATTGTTGTTGCTGTTGTCCATTGTTGCAATCATTCTTTGTTAAAATCTGGTATCTCTTGTAAATGAGTCCTCGAGGCTCAATGGGATTAACCTGTCTAAATAAAGGTTGAATAAATGACCCAAAATAACACTGGAATAGATGGCATTTAATTATTTTTTAACTCTAAAACTACAATAACAAAAACTAGTTTTAGGACTTTTCTTTTGTATTTTTATTAAAAAGAGTGAATAAAACATTTATGACAAAATAATACAATAAACAGTTTGGTTCGGTAGGCAGGGCGCTCAGTTCTGTTGACGGGGCGGGGTGCCCTGCCTGTATAATGGAAGGGAAAACACTGCAATATATCCATCCATCCATCCATCTATTATTTGTACCCGCTTCTTCAGCGGGTCAAATCAGTGGGATTTTTGGTGTGATTCCACCAGCAGTCAGTGGGAGGAAACCGGAGTACCCGGAGAAAACCCTTGCATGTATGGAGAGAACATGCAAACTCCACCCAGAAAGGCCCCCGACCAGGATTCAATCCAGTGACCTTCAGGCTAAGGGCCAACAGCTCTCCCAACTGAGCCACCATGCTGCCCTATGGAATATATAATTTAATAATTTTCAGCAAATGTAGAAAGGACTCAAAAAGGTTTATATTGTTTAGTCTTTGAAGTTTATCAAAGGTTGTTCATCAAAATTTTAGTTTGGTCTTTTCTTTTGTCAACAATAAATGTCAAAATATTTTATTTTTTTTAATGTCAGAATGCAACAAATTTTCTGTCAATACCACTTCCTCCTTATACCTTCATGTGTGAGTACCTCAGCCTCTGAAAGTCCTTTCGGACTTACCTTTGAGTAAAGATCAGCTTTGCTGCAGCATCCACCTCCCTGTCTGCACCATCGTCACACTCCACACTTATCTGCTGCCATTATCCACCTGCTCCAGAACCAAACCACCTACCCTCACCTCTGTTACCTGAACACCTGGAATCCTCCACCTTGGAACCTGGAAAAAAGTAAAACCATAAAAACTAATTCTGTTTTCAGAGTTTATATTCCCATCTTACCTCAGCTAACCTAGTGTCTCTCCCACACAAAACCTATTGAAATCAAACCTCCTAATTTTTACATGTAAAGTTGTTGGTCAAAGTGAAACGAACCTTGTGAAGCTTTATAACATTCAATATGACGTCTGCAGGAAATTACAGAGGATGCACAAGGAAAGCTAGCGCTAGCTGTTGCTGCTAATTATGCTTGTAAAAAATAAAATTCCATGTAGAAATCATGTACATTAGTCCCTCGCTACTTTGCGGTTTGTTTTTCGCGGACTCGCTCTATCGCGGTTTTTCAAAATAAGATTGGACATGACACACAATTGGATGATTGATGCATAAGCCGCACGATCAGCATGGAATTTTTATTTTAAATAAATTATTTTAAATTATTTAGCACCTGCTGCACCTTTGTGCAGCCCTTACTGCAGGATAACCTTTCTGCTGCAGCTGATCAGCTGTTCTCCGTGCTGAGCTGAGAAGTGGGCGTGGCCAAGAACGCTTGCAGGTGGCTGAGAGCAGCGGAGGCAGAGAGTTGAAATCATGATATGCTGTGCTTTTTTAGAGTGTTTAGAATATTGCAAGAGTGTGGGAAGGGTTTAGAACACCTTTATTCTGTATATAGTACTATAGTACTTACTACTTGTACTACTAGTCCTACTTCGTGGTTTTTCACTTATTAGCTTCAGGGTACAGATCCCCCGCAATAAACAATGGACTACTCTAAGGTGAAACTGAGCAATCACCGGCATCCTCCACCTGGACTGATCTTCAGCAAGATGGTTGAGGACACGGATGCCCTCCGTACATTGTCAAGGAGTACGCCGCTTTAACGAGTCCTTTCAGCTCAGAGTTACCTTGGCCCTCACTACATGAGAAAACTGCTTCATTATCTTCTTCTTAATTTGCATTAGGAAGGAGTGGTGATCTCCAACGAGAGCATGGACTCTATCGTGGATCTCAGAATTTGTAGTGTGGGAGGACCGGTGGACCTGAAGCAGGTGTTGCAGCAGGTCATTTCAAATGCACACATTATTTTCACTATCTCAGCGTTCAAAGAGTCCATGTTTTTGCAGCATAGAGAAGGACTGAAAAAACAAATGCTCGTAGGAGTCCAACTTTGGTAGCCATCAACACTGCTCTGTCAAACAAGTTTGAGGTTAGCAAAGACACTGGCAGCTTTGGCCATCCTTGTCTTGACCTCTAACTGAGTCACTGTCTGACGTTAACACAGACCTGGCGAGGTAAGAGAAATCTCCAACTTGTTTGAGTTCTGTATTCTTGATGATGTTCACAAGAACAGGTAACTGGTTTACCAGAAACATTGATCTTGGTTTTCTCAAGACTGCTTGTATTGTGTGCTGCTAGCTTAGAGCTATGTCAGTGCCGACAGGGGTGTGCTTTAACCTGGTTTGGTGTTGACCCCGCTCAGACTAGCTGTTAGCTCATCAGCTTGCTCAGAATTAAACTATCCTGAAATGTACATGTCTGCTAATTCCATCCATCCATCCTTCATCTTCACCTGCTTCTTCCTGCGGAGGACACCCTGAACAGTTCAGAAGTCCATCACAGGGCCACCAGTTTTAATACAAACAATGGACGATCGTCTGCTCAGTGACACAGATAGTATGTGTTTCTTCCTGTGTGGGGGCCGAGATGTTGTAGTCGACTTCGGACCAGAAAGGTATGGTTCGACTCCCAGCCATTCCTACATGTCGTTGTGTCTCTGAGCAAGACATCTAATCCCTAATTGCTCCCCGGTCGCTTACATAGCTGCCCACTGCTCTACCTGGGTGTACCCCACGTGTGATGGGTTAAATGCAGAGAACTAATTTCATCATTGTATGGGAACATACTGTACATACAATGTCAAACTTCCCTTCCTGCCTGTCTCGTGTTAGCGAACGCTGGCCTCACCCTGCCGAAGATGGGGACCAGGTGGTGTTCACACATGGAGAACATGTCGATGTCTTTGACGATCACCATCTCATCGTGGTCTTCATCAAAGATGGCGTCGTTCAACACGTCTGTGGAGGAAAAATAAAAATGAGCACATACAAAGGGTATAGCAAGGACAGGGAAGAATTTTACTTTTTCAACTCGTTTTCAAATTTAGATTTGTACACATGTATTTTAACTTTTAGTGTAGCTTTACTTTTAACTTTTAATCAAACTTGTCTTTTTTAATTTATTGATGGTATACTGTTAGCAATGTTTTACATGTTTAACTTTTTTTTTTTAATTTTAGCTCAATATTGTTAAAAACTTGAGTTTGTCAGACAGACGTCAGTTTCGCCTCGTCTGTCCTCTTTATTGTGAACTTGTGTTTCTTTGAGGCTAACACCTTTCTCTAATTATAGCTCCTTTTTACCTTCCCACTGCTGCTTTATTGCATTTTTTGGTTGCCGAGGTTCAATAAACCACTTTATCTGTTGCTGACGACACAGACGGCTCTCACTATCATGGCAGCAGTTTTTAATTTCCTGCCTGGCTATCTGTTTAAGGAGAGGGAAGCAGAACAGAAAACACCAACTTGTTGCTTCGGTTTCAACTGCTTTCTTTAAAAATGCATACAGAGTGACAAGAAGTGTGTTTGATACCGCTTAAAAAGATCAACGCTGGTTTAGTTTTTAGTTTTGCTTGATAAATGATGAAGCTTAGACAAAATTTCATGAAAATTTGCTTTCAGGACCACGTATGGTCTCAAAATCTAGAGATCTTTTTCTGTGAGTGTTTCTGACAGTGCCTCACAGAGGTCTTCATCCTTCTTGGTGTTTATCCATTTTGGTGTCTTACAAACTGGAATATATTTAGATTTTTACATTAGTTTTAAGGCCCTGTGATGGACTTGCGACCCGTCCAGGGTGTACCCCGCCCCTCGCACAGTGATTGCTGGACATGGGCACCAGCGACCCCCGTGACCCAAAATGGAATAAGCGGGCAAAGAAAATGGATGGATGGACATTAGTTTTAATTTGACAAAAAAAATAAACTTCATACTGAAATCCTTCAGATTAAACAATTTAAATGAGGAAAAAGGCGTTTTAAAAACAGTTTTAAAATGTTAAACCGAAAAGTTCATCCTAAAGTTTCTTCAGATCCATCTTCGTGGGCTTGATCTATCTATGTGGACTTTTTCTCAGTTCATCAGGACCAAGCATCTCCAGTTTCTTCAGGTTAGATGGTGCTTGTGTCCAACAATCTTTAAATCAAACCAGAGATTATTAGTTGGCTTGAGATCTGAGCTTTGACTGGATGATTGGTAACTCTAAATTGTCTCTAGGTGTGAGTGAGGCAGTGAATGGTTGTTTGTCTCATTTGTCTCTATGTGTCTCTGTGATGGACTGGAGACCTGTCCAGGGTGTCCACCACCTCTCGCACAGTGATGGCTGGACATGGTAAATGGACTGTACCTGTACTTATATAGCTCTTTTCTATTTTATTGAGAAACTCAAAGGTCTTTACAATCTGTGTCCTCATTTACCCATTCACACAGCACTCTGCTAGATCTATACAAAGACTCATCAGTGCTTTAGATCACATTCATACACTGATGGGACACACATCAGAGGCAATGAGGGGTTCAGTGTCTTGCCCAGGGACACTTCGGCATGTGACTGCTGGTGGAGTCAAACTCCCAATTATTGCATTGGAGGACGACTGCTCTAACCACTCAGCCACAGATGCCCCATATGGGCACCAGTGACACCCGTGACTCGAAAAGGAAAAAGCGAGTAAAGACAATGGATGCATGCATGCATGGATGGATGGATGGATGGATGGATGGATGGATGGATGGATGGATGGGGTTAGTTGGAGGGCTCGAGTTCACTCATCAATCCAGTGTTTTGATGGCTGATCAGACCAGGATACACCACGAGGAGAGGACTAACCAGGTCTCAGCTGCCCACGGTAGCTGAAAGTCACTGTGACAGCTTCAGGGTCAGCGAGGACAACAACTGATGAGAAGGTGTGCGGGTGATCGGCAACCTTCAGCTGGCTCATGCTTTAAGCTGAAAATGTGAGTCTCACAGTGAGAAAAACAACGCTTCATCTTCGGCATCCAACAAAGTTCAGTCAGGTCCTCTGGACAATTTCTTTTTGTTGAAACGTTTCGTCTTTCATCCAAAAGACTTCTTCAGTCCGAGGAACTGCTCGGTCTTATAAATAGCACCTTCACAAAGTGGATCAACCAGTTTGATGGTGCTTAGATAGTTTCTGTAGTCCGCCCTCTCCCCCGCCCATTAGGGTTTGAGAGAGGGGGAGAGGATTTTTCTGAGCTTGTTGTGGCTCCTCAGACTGATGAAGTCTTTTGGATGAAAGACAAAAAGTTTCAACAAAAAGAAACTGTCCAGAGGACCTGACTGAACTTTGTTGGATTTTTCTACCTGGATTATTGAGCCTGAATCAGGATATTCATCTTCAGTAGTTACTTGAAACTTTTACTTTTCTTCTAACAAAAATTGTAACTGAGTAAACATGTTTATTTTTTCTGGAAAAAAACAAAGGTGGACATCAGACATTACTCAAGTCACAAGCAACTTTAGAGAAAACAGTTCATGGTGAGACTGGTAGAGAACCCAAGGGTCAGAGGTCATAGTCAGGGGAGCTCACTTCATGCTATAGATGCAACCTACAGTGCAGAGGAGTGATTCCTTGTGACTTCTTCAACTCTGTTAACATGAACGTGCCAACGATGACGTGTGAACGTGAACCAACCTATGAAACATCTTCAAACTCAAAGTCCAGTTATCTTTTAAAAAAACTATTTAAGACTTTCTAAAAAAGTTAAATCTGGTCCTCTGGACATTCAAAAAATTTTTGAATGTCCAGAGGACCAGATTTAACTTTTTTAGATTTTTCTACCTGGATTATTGAGCCTGCATCAGGATATTTACGACTTTCTTTGTATGTGTGTGTAGCCTTTAGCTATTATTGTCCACCAAGGCAAAAGGGCATTAACGTTTGTTTATCTGTCTGTTAGCAAAATATTTCATGAACCATTGCACAGTTCATGACAATCGGACCATAACAATCGTGGTTACATGGAAAAGTAATATTGAACGTACCTCTCCAATTGATTAACATTTGGAGTCCACCTCACACATGACAAGTTGTGATAATGCATAAGATTGCACCTCACATTATTTTCAACGTTCGACCAAAATCTAACTCTAAAGATTTTACACAAGAAGCAGCAGGCAATAAGCCATTAATTTACAAAATGTGTTTACAGTATGTGCTTACTGTGTTAATGATGGTTAAGAAAAAAGCACATTCAAAGACCTGTAAATAACCAAGAATGATTTTGAGACATGCCTGAAGAATCTTTTTTATTGGGTTTTCATATCTACATGCAGTCGATGGAAGTAGCTCGATCTAAATCTAGAAACATCAAGACTGAAATAAAAATAAACCCAGCTCTTTGAGATTATAGCAGCAGCAAAGCACACAGCTTTGAATAAACAACTTATAGTAACAAATTTCTTAGTGGTTCTTACATCAAAATAAGGTTCGAGCTGTTGTCATTTTTACCCAAACAGTTGTTTTTTAGCTCTTTCTTTGTCACCTTAAGGAAAAATACAGTGAAGTCAATGTAAACTGGATAAAGAAAAGTGATGGGGGTGCCAATGAGCCGGTGGTTATCAGGTAATCACAGCGTCACTCAGTGCTCACGTTCAGTGGATTGTCCATGTGCGCGGGCATAAAAGGAAACACTCAGTGTAACACAAGCTGAATGAAGCAGGAAACTGGGACGTCAATGACTCCATAAACAAACATCCCTGCAGTCTATTCATCCATTCTTGTTCAAACAGCTCCATGAAAAAAAGTTCAAGACAATTTAAATGATGAATCAGAGTTCGACCAATCATCTAATATAATCAGGGATGTCTCTGGTCGGCTCAAATTTCATTAAACCGAAAGACAACGAGTCCAAACGTGCAGTCTGAGTCAAACCACGTGAGGTACAGTGCGTCCTGCAGGTCGCTGTCTGGTTGTGACATCAGGGAGTCAGTTTGGGGTCACAGAGCTGAACTGGTCTTATCGTTCTGGCCTGGGTGATCGCAGGTGGACTGCTTAAACTACCTGTTTCACACACGGTGGATTTGTAAGTCTAGTATTTCTTGAAGGCAGTCGGGAACCCTCAGGAATTCAACCCATATATAGTTACATTACTTTTTGTTTAACATTTATTCCATATAAAACATATACAGTATATTAAATGTAGGTATTTTCTCCTAATTTATCTTATTTTCTGTAAACTACTTTGCAGTTGAGCAAGAAACATTTAAATTGATTAAAATACAGTAATCCATCCATCCATCATCTTTTACCCGCTTCTTCCATTTTGGGTCACGGGGGTCGCCGGGGCCCATGTCCAGGAATCACTGTGCGAGGGGCGGGGGACACCCTGGACAGGTCGCAAGTCCATCACGGGACAGTTGTCCAATCAGACCCTTTTAAATTTGTGTCAACAAATGTAAAACACAACATGTCTGAATGTTTTCTCACTGGTTAGGGTTGAATTTCTGTCTGAATAATTGAAATTACATGTTGTACTTGAATGCAAGAGACTGGGTGAGCTGCAGGGCATGCTGGGTAATCTTGTAGGTAGATGGGTTTTTCAAAGTGTTGAGATCTATGTTCATGTTGTTGTGGGTGGTTGTAAAAAAAAAACAGCATAAAATGAAAAGTGAAAGAAACAAAAACAGACTACATCAGGTTTTTGATAGCATTCCAGAGTTGAACGTTCTACAAAGTTTGTTCTTCACTTAAGTTGGTCAGAGTCTTTCTAATGTATGTTTCAGATGCAACCACTTCATCTGTGTTTGTGGTTCCGGGTAAATAAATGGGGTGTGATGATGGTTAACGCCCATGACCTTCTCTGCCAGTCACAAAGATGTCAACACGTTGAAATATGTCACCTACTGGCCTGGAATATGTGCAGACGTCACTGATTACAAAGAATGTTCAGAATGCTGTTGTTCTCAACCTGACAAACTCATTTGCATAAGGCTCAGAAGAC